ACAGATCATCAATCAAATACTATCTGCACTCATTGATACCACAGCTCAAACAATACTAAGACTATCTATGTTCATAAAATTTACCAACCCATCTATATATACCTACTTACACACTACTGCAAGATCCGATTTGAGTATCGTTTTAACTTGTCTGTGCACATCGGCCAGAGATCTACAGTCCATGTATTCTAGCTCGAGATATATCGCTTCATTGCAAGAAAAAAGAATGGTAGCTAACCACAACATGTGAACATTGTAATACTTGGTGTATTCTTGGCTAGCTCCTGCACAATTGGCTTTCAATTCCCTTCTTGTTCTGTCCATTTGCATAGAAATCATCTTCAAGGTGATCAAATTCCCACGCCATTTATGTTGATCAAGTTGTACTACAACACTGACGGCCTTGAGGTCTTCCGATGAGAATTCAAAATCAACCTCGACTGTTGAAAATAATTCGAAAAACATACATGAAGGGTATTGAATTTTAAAAAACCTTGCAAGAAAGCATAAAAAGAAATGGGATGCAATTCACCATCATGAAATGGGGCAGTCCTGAAGATATATTATATTAAAAAGAAATCAGTGAAGGCATGGAATTTGATTCAAGAATCCATTTTTACTGAATAAAAATAGAATCTTTGATCTAAAACTTACATAAAATGAAGAACAAAAACTTACGGGATGGGTTTGCTTGAGAAGAAAGAGAGAGTTTCAATGGTTTTTTTTTGTTCTTTCATCTATTTTCTGTGCAAATCAACAGACCAGAAGAGATTCGCAAGCAAATTGTGCAGGAGCTAAGAACACACCAAGCGTTGTATCTCGTGCTAGAATACATGGACCGTGGATCTATGGTCGATGTGTATATTGTATACGGAGAGAAATAATATATTGAACCATCTTTTTATATTATATTTATATGGTGTCCTCGATTCAGTTCATTTCCTATTGTATATCGGTCGTTAACCTTGAGTTTGAGTTGGTAATTAAAAGATAACTGTCTTCTTCTTCTTCTTCACCATCACCACCACCACTTGTAAACAGAACATATAATACGTATAATTCTTCTCAACAGGACACACATTGCAATCTTTCAAACCCTCTAATAATTTGAGGATCTCAATCAAGATTATCGGCTAGTGAATCGGACAGATAGTAAGTTCCCATCTTTACTCTAAGTACCAACATAACGGTCCCCATCAGGGCATCTAAAAGTCCCATTTCCTTTAGGAAAACCATCTTCCCAAGAACCATCATATCTATTCCCAAGAATCATTGTTCCAACATAACAGTCTAAAAAATCATTGGATAATGAAAAGTTTTCCATAAAAAATAATACAAGCAAAAAACTGAATAACTTGCCTCCTCCACTATAAAGTAAGGCTACGTCTGAGGTCAGAAACCTAAAGGATAGTTTCAAGGCCCCATATAAATAACAATGAAAAGAGAAGAACATTTTCGCAACCCTGGAATTTGGATACGAATTCGTTGAATCTTGAAAGAGAATACCCTAAGCTTGGATTCAACTCGGGGCCCGGGGGACTGGCATTAGCTCCAAGAATAAGTGTTTTTAGAGGTCCATGAAACATATTGATCCATTAGTGATGCAAAAACAAGATACTTTCATTCTCAGCAATGAGCTACTATGGAAGTTGAACCGAGGTGATTAATTATGCAGTTTTCCATCAATATCTTGTAAGCAGATAAATTAAAATTCAATATATCAGCCAATTGTACGAAACACGTACGACAATATGAGATTCTAAGTTGACAATATGAGATTCTAAGTTGATAATATAAAAAGTCCTTTGGTAAAAACATGCAAAAGTTAACCAAGTAAAAGCCGGATTGTATAGTTCTAATTTCCCTTTCGGATTGATGACGGGATCTAGCATTGTTAAAGATTCAACAATATCTGGACTAGCATTTGATAGCACGAATATTGTCAAACATTATAAGAAATATATTACTTTTTGTGTCCAGGAATGAGCGACTTTATTGAGAATATGTCACGAGGACCTTAAAGGTCGATTGGGAATTCATTATGCACATTTTATGGCTCTTTGTGCCACTACGGATGCTGACCAAGTTTTCAATAATAACATTGTTCGGGTCCCTCCTACACAAAATTAACAACACTTCCCTTGGTGTCCTGAAATTATAGCAAGCTTTTCTCTTTAAGGGTCATATAAACTAAGCTTTTCACTGTGTCGAAACGATTTTTTTTTAAAAGGTGAAAAAATGTGAGATTTTAAAAATCACAGTAATTCTTCTTTTTAATTTAAAAACAAAATGCGATTTAAAATGCCTCTTGTTTCGAAAAATTTTGGATTTCTTTTACGATCGAAAAATACTGTTCGAACCACCAATCTTTGATTATGGTGTGATTGGGAACCCAAAAATGTTTTGTCATTTTAAATAAAAATTAATTTTAATTAAAACAACAAATTAAGGTATGCGTTACCAAAATCCGAGTTCGAGAGTCGGTTACGTATAGGGAAGGATTAGCATCCCCACAACGCCCTAAATTGGTACCTAGTCGATTAATTAACGTCCTTGCATTGAACTTTACAAATTCGAACTTAATTTGATTTTTGATCCCATAAAACAAAGACGTAAATTTAAAAACATTCAAAAGCACTCAAATAAATTAAATTAAAATTACCAAATCGTTTTAGAAAGATAAAGAATGTTCGATTATTTACAAATATCGAGACCAGATCTTAAAGATATAACAACATTTTCTCGATATATTTAAATAAACGAACATTTCCTTTTCTTTCGTTACCAAATTTTATGTGACGAATCAAATTTTTTTGTTTCACTTTCGGGATATACTTTTTATTTTAAAATCATTAAAAGCAGACCTCAAATCAATTATGACTGCCCACTTAAAACAATTTTAAATTAAAAGAATATTACCCTTAATTCAATTATGTCGTGTGGTCGAGATATGCACATGAAGATTTCATACATATTATGCAAAATGGTGTTAAAGAAAAACTATGTATGGGCAAGCATACAAATAAACAATTATAAGTAACTAAAAACTTATCATGTTATGAAATTAATTAATTAATGTAACTAAATGTAAATGAACCTAGGGTTAATTACAAAATTGTTACACATATATATATATATTATTCTTAGATTTAAACAAAAAAAAATTAACCAACTAAATTAAGTTAAGATAAAAAAATTAATAATTAAATAAAAAAAACGTAAAAAAATGATACTTGAAACATACATATATGACAGTGCCTTAAAAAAGAAATCCAAGCTAAAATAATTATTTTAGATTTTTTTTTGTAAATCTAAAATAATTTAAGGATAAATTTGTAATTTAACCTTCGTAGAATTTTTATTCTTCAAGACAGAAGAATGATATTTTTGAAAAAAAATAAAAATTTAAGGATATTTTAGTTCAAAACGCCGGTAATGTTACAATACCTAAAGGAATGAAGGTAATGACATTCATAGTAATATACCCAAAAAATCTACTATTGGTAATAAAACATTACCGGGAATGAGATTATCGATCAACCAAACATGAGAATGTGAGATTCCTATCCCATTAGAATCCCACAATCCTTAAACCAAACACCCTTAAGAATGAGGATGCACATCAGTCTTTCATTAGAAAAATCGAGTGTTTCAAAAGGAAAAGATGCAGAACACGAAACCGTTGAAGCTCTCCTTTCCTTCCCAAGTAAATCCAATCAATTCTGTCTTGTAAGTTCTTTCTTTTTCTTCATTTTATGTAAGCATTGGATCAAAGATTCCATTTTTATTTAGTAAAAATCGGTTCTTGAATCAAATTTCATGGCTTCATTGGTTTCTTTTTAATATATCTTCAGGACTGCCACATTTCATGGCTACTTTCTATTTCTGTTCTATACACTCCGTAGTGGCTCTTGTGAAGATGGAACAAATCTCCTCATCCATACTCTGAAAACACTCCGCAGCCTTTATCACAAACTCAAATGCTTCCCTTGGCCAAGAAGTCATCATTATGATGGACATCTGTAGCGGCGACATTCGTCTCTTCTTGGAGGATACACTTTTTAGCAGCATGGGCTTTTCATTCAATGCTCGGAAATCTGGGCCGAGATCTGTTGGGTCCAAAAAGAAATGAGAAGGCTTGTGAATCGTGTTTCGTAAAAGCAAGGCCTTGAACAACGTTTCTTATACACCCCAACAAAAAAATATAATAAAATTTTACACGATAAAAATATATTATTAAAAAAAATATAAAGAAAAAATAAAATATAAGAGAATTTAAAAAATTTAGAGGGTCAGTCACTCCGATCCATCATCCTTGATTATGATACGAGAGAAGGAAAAAAAAAAGATAAAAGAGGAGACAGCATCTTGTTAGGGGGCCATGCGTTTGAGGCATTCCTATGAATTCCACATGCATTTGCTCGACACCTACCATACATGCATGTATGAACTGCAATGCTTGAGCTCTCTCTTTCACATTTGTTTTCCATATTGATTTCGTCTTTTACTTTGATCAAAGTCTTCACCGCAAACTGTTTTTGAAACCTTTTAATGTCTGGTGTGTCCAACCATTCTCACATCATAAGTCACCTCATATGGCATAAAACACCGGACATGATGGATGCTGCTTCCTTCCCCTCTATCAATCCCTCCATGCTTTTATTTCTTTTGGCTATGGAACAAAAAACACCATGTTACTCCGGTCCACCTGCTCGGTGACTTATCTATGTCGAATACCACGGGATTTAAATTTCAATGTCGGTATCACTTTCGGTAAAGTCAGCAGTAAGTATCACCGGTGAACAGAACCCAAACTACATGCCTATTACCTGTTGGTCAAGTAAAAAACGAAACTTGTAACATGATAAATTTGAGTTTGTCTTTACTGATATTTAAAGCCAGAATGCCTTGCTCCACACACAAAAAAAAGTCTTATTCAAAGGTATCTCTTTCTGCTTCAATATATAAACATCTGCAGATGCTTGTTGAACCAACAAATTCACCTAAAAATATTCCTTTCTTTAAGAACTGCAGTCTGAAATAGACTTCAAGCCAAGGGTAAAGAAGTGTTGAGCAGAAAACAATGATTGGCATCAAGGATTTGTACTGTGTTCTGACTGCAGTTGTACCTCTTTATGTCACCATGTTCTTGGCTTATGGTTCAGTGAAATGGTGGAACATATTCACCCCGGAACAGTGTGCCGGTATCAACAGGTTTGTTGCGATCTTCGCTGTTCCACTCCTTTCCTTCGAGTTTGTTTCAAGGATCAATCCTTACAAAATGGACCTCCTTTTCCTTGCTGCTGATGGAGTTTCAAAAGTCCTGATATTGTTGGCTTTGCTTTGTTGGGCCAATTTCACAAAGAAAGGCAGCCTGGATTGGTCTATCACACTTTTCTCACTTTCCACTCTCCCAAACACTCTTGTGATGGGTATTCCCCTGCTAAAGTCCATGTATGGGGATGACAAGGAATACCTAATGATTCAAGTTGTAGTGTTGCAATGCATAATCTGGTACACTCTATTACTGTTTTTGTTTGAATATAGAGAAACAAGAACTGCAGTCATGAGCACGTTAAAGGAAAGCAGTACTATTAGTCACCTTGAGAAAGAGGAGGAGAATTCTAAGAACTGTTGCAGTGAAGATGAAGCCATTAATTTTATTGCCACAACACCATCTAGTCAACAGACGGCTCAAAACGTAAACAAGATTGCACCGGATCAATCTCAGAGGTTCAAGCCAGTGGAAGCAGTGGAGGGAGAGGGTAAAGAGTTCCATTTATTCATCTGGAGATGTGGATGTTTCATTTCTACAGGCAAGTCTCTAAATTTTAATCCATATACTCACATTTCCATATTTATTGTTCTGATTTATGAATGATATTTTAGATGGGACTAGTACTTGTGAGCAGCAGTCAGTGCATGCTAATCAAAGAGAAAGAAGCAGTACAGGAAAGGCTGTTGCAAGTGAAATGCAAGAGGATGTGGAAAATGCTAGCATGCCCTCTTCTTTTTCTTCATCAATGCTCCTCAAAATACTGAGAAAAGTCTGGTTCAAACTTGTGAGGAACCCTAACTCTTACTCAAGTTTGCTGGGTCTAAGCTGGGCTTTAGTCTCTTGCAGGTACTTTTAGACGTCACTCACTCAGTTTCCACACACTATGTTGTTTGGACTCGAGATGAGTTCGAATATATATTGAATATGAATATTTAAAAAAAACAAAGAGTTGGAGTAACATCCATGATCACACTCTTCCAACCTTATTAACTGGTAAATTGCTTTTGCTACTTCTATTTAACAGATGGGATATACAGAAGCCCCAAATAATGGAAAATTCAGTCACTATTTTGTCAAGTGCAGGTCTTGGAATGGCAATGTTTAGCCTTGGTAAGATATATTTGTTTTCCTGGTTCATGTTTCTTTCCCATCAAACCATAAGTTTGGAGAAGAATTAAACTGATTTTGTTTTGAATTATAAGGATTATTCATGGCTTTGCAACCAAGGATCATCGCCTGTGGGAACAAGCTGGCTTTGTATGGGATGGTTGCTAGGTTTATCACAGGACCAGCACTAATGGCGATAGCATCCATTGCAGTTGGGCTCAAAGGCAGTACCTTCAAATTGTCTATTGTCCAAGCAGCATTGCCTCAAGGAATTGTCCCTTTCGTTTTTGCTAGGGAGTATAATTTGCATCCTGATGTATTGAGCACAGCGTAAGTTGCACCACAATCTGCCATCATAGTGTTAAGGGTGAACTTATAAAATTTTAAGGGATGAAAATAAATTATCAATAAAAAAATAAAAAAATTCTAAAATATATGAGAATTTAAAATTTTCAGAGATGACTATCCTAATCTGTCCCCCTTCAGTCCATCCTTATATAGGACTGCACCCTTAATTTAAATTCCTGGATAAAGAATGCTAATTCCTGTCCTTTTATGTGCAGGGTGATATTTGGAATGATAGTTTCTCTGCCCATAACAATAATATATTACATTTTATTGGGTATTTGAGGAGTCAAATTGGAAGGATGAAAGCAAAAAAACATGAGGAACTCTGGGAGCTTGAAGTATAGAAGCATCTTCTCATCAGGCAGGAAGCAGGACTGGTTTTTGAAGGGTACATGTACCCTGTTTCTAGTATATCTATGCATGTATGTGTATGGGCATGAACACATCATCACGTGAAAGGTTGGCCAATATGATTAGGCAAATCATAGTTTTTCGTTTGAGGTTATGAATGAATATTGAGTTCCAAATATCTCAATCAAAATTCTCATAACTTATAATATTATAATACATGAAACTCAATTAAATGGTTTCAGTGGTTAAATGAAGTGTTATTCTTCTTAAAAGTCTTGGGTGCAAACAACTGCGCCTACAAGTGTGTGCGCATTGTTTATGACTAAAAAAATTTATGAATAAATACTACATTGTAACCATTCTAAGACTATTAGAAAAACATTATAATATATAAACTTCAATGTTGATGATCATACATACTATGGGTCATAAAGGGACCTCAGTCCTCGTTAATGGTTTCAAATGTGTTTCCGTGAGCATATGCTTTATGGCTCATAATTTTGGAATGATCGACAAACATGCACTAGAGGTGTCACATTAATAGGTCAGATAGTTTCGAGTTTGGTTCGAGATTATTTTTAATTTACAAATGATTAATGAAGAAATAAATAAGTATGCTTGAATGCAATAATATAATTGCACAAAAATGTAAATACTATCCTAGTAATACATTGAGTTATAGAAAAATTTACTTCCTTATCATGTTTAACCATCATAATGTAATTACATTATAACTATTATTTTATTCATATATTAAATTATAAGGAATATTTTTCTTTTCAAACAAAATATTTAACTGTAACAACTATATTTTTTTCAAGGTTTAGATAAAAATTTGTTCTCTTATCTTTTATAATAACTAAGATAGAATTACACTAATTTTTAAAGACTAAATTAAAACTTATCTCTTGTACAAGATTAAACTGAGTAAACTAGATATAATTCTCTAAGTAGATGTTTACAAATTTGATATTAACAAATAATAAAAGAAAAATATAAAATGAACTCATATACTATGTAGTCGCTTGCTTTAATCACCATCAAGTGTTTTGCTTCTCAAGCTCCGAATCAACTACTAGTTATCTAAAAATATTAACAAACGAGTGTGAATTTAATTAGGCTTAGTGAATGACTAACATTCAAACAATATATACACATCAAGGCTAAAAGAAAACATCTTAGATGCCTTGTACAACAAGATTAATAAATTCATAAAGTTTTAATTTTAAAAATAAATTGTGATTTTTTTATATATTTTTTAAAAATGATTTTTTAGAATTATAATTTAGAAAAATTGAAAAAATTGTCAAAAGTAAAATTTGAGTTACGATTCCAGGGTCAAATAAGATTTTTTTAATAATTTAATATGTCATTTCATCCCTTTTAAAGATGCAATGTTCATTTTATAATAAAAAAATAAAGTTTAATGCTCGTTATATAACTTATGAAAGATTAATATCCAAATAGATTATTTTAACATAGTTTAGTGACCATTTAAAATTTTACCTTATAAAATTAGTGGTGTATATCAATGTGCTAAATTCATTCTAGAATTTTTCTTAATGAGTATATAACGAACATCACACATTGATATATACAAAATAAAATATAATAAAATTTACAAATGATCATTAAACTATTATAAAATGATTTTTTAATTATAATTTTTAAAATTTATAAAATAAACATTAAATTTTAATTTTAATTTTTGTTAAAAAATATAAACATCGATCAACTATTGTAAGCTATCATTAAACTATGATTAAATGATGTTTTTAGGAGTTTTTGACGTAAAAAAAGTTGCAGCTAAATTACGAAACTTATCCCTTTTGAGTTTCCTTTTCTTAACGTTAATGGAGATCTTGAAAAGACCCGGTTCACAAAACCCAATGACGAGAAAGCCGAACCGGATAAAAATACCTGTCCTAGTCCATAAACAACAAACTTTGCTTTTAAATTAAAAAAAATTGATCGGTGGTAGTTGCTAAGCCGTGGCACCTTCGTCCACACTTCACTCTTTGTCCTCTCTCTCTTGCAGTCCCAATTTTCTTTCTTTCTTTTTGTTCAATCGGCAGATTAATTCATTCTCTTTAATCTGTGCCAGTAATTGAAGATGGTGGTTTCTGAAAACAAACCTGTTCTTAAGTTTCTTTTAGTGTATCTCCTCATCCAATTCTCAGTCACCGCTGGTAATTTCTTCCAACCATTCAACGTTACTTACGACCACAGAGCTCTGATCATCGATGGCAACCGCCGCATGCTTATTTCCGGTGGAATTCATTACCCTCGTGCTACTCCTCAGGTACCCTTTTTCTCCTTTTGACTCCTTCAACCAACTTTCAACTTTTAAACGAATGATATTTTTTCTTCGGGTTTTTGAATTTCTAATGTATTCGAAGCTTGGGTTTTTGAATTTATAATGTATTCGAAGCTTGGGTTTTTCCTTTCAAGTCGTTTTTAACTATTTTTGAACTAGGATTTTGAAGTTTTAGGTGAAAAGGCTTAAGCTTGTTAGTCATGCTTAAGGTTTGCATGTGGAATTCTATCCTCTAGAAAGAAAGACATTTGCTTTTGTCTTTATTGGTGCTATATACCAATGAGAAATTAAGCCATGACTGAATATTTTATTCTTCTTTTTTCTATCATCTATATAATTTTCCCATCATTGTCATGTATTGTTGTTAAACTGCGTTTCTTACAATGGTAGCTTAATGTCATCAGATGTGGCCTGACCTGATTGCAATGAGCAAGGAGGGTGGAGCAGATGTAATCGAAAGTTATACATTTTGGAATGGGCATGAACCAGTCAGAGGGCAGGTGTGCTATAACTCCTTTTGCATCTAATCTGTGGTAGTAAGTGGGAATTCTTACTAGTTTTTACTGATTTGGTACAAGCTAGAATATTAATCTTTTGTATGAACTGCTTGTTCAGTATAATTTTGAAGGAAGGTTTGATCTTGTCAAGTTTGTGAAGCTAGTGGGAGACAGTGGACTCTATTTCCTTCTTCGTATAGGTCCTTATGTTTGCGCTGAGTGGAATTTCGGGTCTGACTTTGTTTTCCTATTTTAATTACTTACAAAACTATTTTCTGCTTTCTGTAACTTTGTGTTCAGTATCATGCTGCAAGGTTAAAAATGTTTTAATACCTCAATTTTTGGTTCTGAATAAGGTCGATAACATATTAACTATAAAATCATATTTTCTTTAATTTCCTCTGGCAAATTATTGATAGGGGCTTTCCTGTCTGGCTGCGAGATATCCCTGGCATTGAATTTCGAACCGACAATGAACCTTTTAAGGTATGCAATCCAGTGTCTACAAGCAAACAAGAAAACTCTTTGTTGCTTTTCCTAGTGATGTTGAAATATGCAACCTTACTTTTGAGCCAAATTTTTGCATTTAACAACTAGAAAGTATTGAATTTTCTTATTGACTTAAAATCTTTTCCACGCTATTTAGTTACGTTCAACAGTTAGTGCTAACAAAAGATGTACACAGAGCACATGATAAACATTTTTTATATATCACAAATGTATCCATTATGTAAATTGAAGTTTTCTTAATGTACTGTCTGCTTTTTAGACTTTGCTTTAAAGTCAAGATGCTTTGGATATGTTTCCAGATTTTTTTCACCTTTAGTGTAGTTTTTTGATATGCACTAATTACTGACGATATTTGAACTTGCAAAGCTTTACCTGGTTATATTTCCACAACTCGGTTTTCATGAAGGGTGCAACTGTTAACACATGTGCTTAAAGATATTAATATCCATCAAATTGCTGAATCATACTCTCTTCTTTCTTGTCTGTTATTTATTTATTCTGAAGTGTATGAGTGGTAGCAAGTTTGACTAATTATTATACTGAATTATCTTTTTTAAGTTTCCTTTTATGTTTGACTATATATAAGTGCTTTTTACCATATTTGTCAAACAGTGATAGGATTATAATGATTTCTGGAGGTTGACAAGTGAATTTCTCAAAATTTTGGTCATCTATCGGCCATAAAGCTTAATCTTTCTTCTGCATCTTCATCTTTTCTTGTTTTCCTCTCCAGAGGGAGATGCAGCGCTTTGTAACAAAGATTGTGGATTTGATGCGGGAAGAGAAACTCTTCTCCTGGCAGGGTGGTCCTATTATCCTGTTGCAGGTTGCACTACAATTGAGAACTCCAATTTATATATTATACAGAATAGCCTTTTAGAGGAGACATATGGCTCAATTTCTATCATGAATAAGGACAAAATTGCAATCAAATTGTCACTCTAGCCATTGTTTAAACTAAATCTGAACTATTTTTTTTATAAGAGGAGGCATCGTTAAAAAACGCCTACTGGAATTTCTTAATCAGCGGAAGGAGGAAAAGAGTGCCTCAAAAAAATCTGAACTCTTTATACAGAAGAAAATCCTATCTTGATTCTTGAAGAATAAAAGATGCAGGTAGTCCCTACATGAAATTTAGATATCAAATAATTCATTTAATAATGTATGATTCTCAACTACTGCCACAATGCTATGTCTAGTGTTATTTTTCTCTCAAGACTACTTTCTAAGCAGTGGTTAACATATCGTTTACTGTAAGGTAATTTACCAGTAAGCAAAAATTACCTAAGTGTTTATTTATTATCAACTCGTTAGAACAACTTTGCACTTAGTTGAATATATTGTATCTATAAAGAATCTAATTAATTTATATATTTGCTCATTTTTATAATTCGTTACTGATTTTTTTTGTGTGTAAACAGATGGTTGATTTACATGTAGAATAGAAAGCTTAAACATTATTTTTAGGGAATAAAATAGTATTTAAACCTAATGCAAGCACACATATCAAAATAAATAACTATCCATTTCTATGGGACTAAATTAGTTGTTTGTCCTTGAAAGAAAATGTCTTAGCCCAAAATATGGTGTCTTAGCTATTCTAGTGACCATTTTACTTCTTTGCAATGATAAAGAATATTATACAATAATAAAACTCATTTTGATTCTAATTATCTCTCAAATCCATGTGCATCCAAAGATTGGGACAAGAATTTCTCTTTCCCATAGATTCTTTAACTCGGATAAAATTTTATCAGATTGAGAATGAATATGGCAATATGGAGGGTTCATATGGACAGAAGGGGAAAGAGTATGTCAAGTGGGCTGCTAACATGGCTTTGGGACTTGGTGCTGGGGTTCCATGGGTGATGTGCAAGCAAACTGATGCTCTGGGTGATATAGTAAGGTCCTTACCTTTAATGCTTTGGTTTTCTTTATAATGCTTGTGCATATCCAATCAAGGAAGATGCTTGCTTTCTTGTTTTTAAAATTCTATTTTGTTTACAACATTGATATTTGAAACAACAAATTTGTGTTTTTCTTTAATTATGCTTTACCTTCTTTTGTTTGTCTTCCTTTGTTCTCTCTTGCAGATTGATACCTGCAATAATTATTACTGTGATGGTTATAAACCAAATTCCCCTAACAAACCAACGATTTGGACTGAAAATTGGGATGGATGGTAAGATCACGCCTAATGTTTTTATTTCTTTCCTTGTATTCCCTATATAGTTCCTTTTTTCCTTCATTGTGCTCTTTTCTTTCTTCTCCCTTTTGGAAGGGAGGAGCATTGTGGAGGAGGCGTAGGAAATTTTGTCAAGCTCCTAAGAAGGATGTTTTTTTTGTTTGCCCAAAATAGAGGGAATGTTGGGTTCCACATCCTCGTGGCTTGGGGAACTATGATTTTAGTCTTTTGTTTGTATAGGAGTTTTTTTTTAAATGGTGATAATAGCTACAATTTTTCTGGTGTTAAGTATTCCAAAAATCCAAGTTGGCTAATATTTCAGAAGGCATTGGTTATATGTTGAGAGAGAATTTTTCGGGTCAAAAAGAGTTTTTATTCTTTGTCATGTAATTTTGTTAGTTACAGACTTACAGTAGCCTCTATATATGCATGCTAAAATCCTAAAACAAATAAACTTGAGGTCGTGGGATCGAGTCCCACGGAGCGCATTTCATAATTCGGAGGTCTCTTACGGAAGCTGCTCTCAACCTGGTGTTGGGGGTAGCCTACTATCTTACCTCCCCCTTACCCCATACATATGGGAAAAAGGGACAACCATTTAAAATCCTAAAACAAATAAACTATCACAAAGCATGATACTAGGCCTAATAATGGGAACTAGTACAAAATGCAAGAATTACTCCTAAATTATCTCTATCAAATACCAATCAATACAAAATACTTTTAAAATGTCTCTACAAAAACTAGCCAGCATCCCTTGATTTTCACAGTATTTTAAATGGTGTCACCTTATATTATTTAGTTTGTGGTCTATTTTGGTCTTAGTCATTTAAACTTCCCCGCCCATTCTCAATTGGTTTTATTTTTGATTCTTTTTCTGCTTCATTTGTTCTTCTGTTTGTTGCTTAATGTTGTATTCTGTAGGAGATATCCTTATGTAATGCGTGGAAGGGTTTTAAGCTGTGTTGTCTCGCATTAGATAGAAATATAGGGATTTTGTGTGCTTTATTTATGTTGGGCTGGTCTACCTATTGCATTTGAGTTTAGGTTAATGCTTTGATTTAAGTAGGATGGAGTAAAAATGCATTTAAGGCTACTTTTTTTCTTTGATTCCTACTATATCCTATACGTTTCAACCTATATGCCATTAGGTATCTGTAACCAGGGTGGAACTACTAAAGGGCTAGAGGGGGCCACGACCACCCCAATTTTTTTAGGATAAACTATACATTTAGTTCCTAAACTATTAGTTTTGAACTTTTGATCCGTTTTAGTACCTAAACTTTCAATTTTTTTAAAATCATACCTAAAGTTTAGTTTTTGCTTCTTTTTTTAGTGTGTGTGTGTATATATATATATATATGGAGTAATCATTGGTATCTAATTTATTAATCGATTAATTCGGGTCAAGTACTGTAGAGGTGAAAGCGACATTCCCAACCCAATTTGATCCATTCGCAAACACCAAGATTTGAACCCTTGACCTTGTTAAGAGATCTAGTGTCTCATTCCAGTAGATTAACTTATTTTTGACATATATTAATACATATTAAATTCTTAAGTTGGTCTTTAAAAATTGTATATAATAAGTTATTAAATGTAGTTATAAAAAAATATGTATACTACTTTAAAATTTAGTTATCATTTATTAAAAAGTGTTAACATTCGTTTTTATTATTTTTGTTTTATTTTTAATTGAATGAAAATATATTCTCCTTTGTTATTTCTAATTTCAAGATACAAAATTTTTGTCTTTTTTTTTCTATTTGGTTATTCATCTTTTTTGAGTTGAGGACTTCATTTAAGTTATTAAATATTCAACTTTTAATTTCATTTCAGTTGAAGGTAGTAAAATATTTTAACTAATATATAAAAAAAATTTAAAATGCCCCCCCCCAAACAAATAATGTTGAGTTTCGCCACTATCTGTAACATCACCAACTTATTTTATTCCATCGTATTTCTGATGCTTATCTCTTGTTAACTAACATATTTTGGCACTGTTGCAAGATTATTTGCAATTGTTCTTACTTTTAGTTAATCTTTGTAGGTACACCTCATGGGGTGGAAGATTGCCTCACAGGCCTGTTGAAGATCTTGCTTTTGCAGTAGCACGTTTTTTCCAGCGTGGAGGGAGCTTGATGAACTATTATATGGTATGCTAATTAACAACTAACTGTGTCTGAGAAGTATCATTTTCTAGTATGTAGTTAGCATTTATAAGGCTGGGTAACAGCTATGGTTGTCTTACTAGAAATAACAATATTTGTGGTCAAGTGAAAATGACATCATTAGGTCATCTGGTCCAATACTACATATTGACAAGCCTTGTGATTGTTGCAGTATTTTGGTGGGACAAACTTTGGCCGTACTTCTGGTGGGCCCTTCTATATTACTAGTTACGATTATGATGCTCCTATTGATGAATATGGTAGGTGAAACTGCTCAAAGTATTGAAGCTTGCATGGTCATAAATTTATACCTCTAAGATCAAATATAGCTGGAGCATTAAGGTCCAAAACTAACTGATGCTTTTGTCTCTAGGTTTAAGGAGTGATCCAAAATGGGGACACTTGAAAGATCTTCATGCTGCTATTAAGCTCTGTGAACCAGCTCTAGTTGCTGCGGATTCACCTCAGTATATGAAATTGGGACCAAAGCAAGAGGTTTTTTTTTCTTTTTCTTTTTTTTAACTTCTTTCTCTGCTGTTATGTATCAATCAAATAGCGGATTAAATAAGTTGTTTCTAAGTTGATTTGTCCATCTATACTTTATACATAAAGAAATATATCTTGCTTTTGCATGCAATTTACTTCAATTTGCAATTAGTAGTGTTCTCATTGGAGTAAGGTTGTATTGTTTATTAGAGGTGGCGATTAGGTAGGTCCGCCTGATTGGAGTCATTTTGGTTTTAGACAAATCCAGTTTGGGTTGTTTATTTCACTGAGCAGGTCCTTTCTCTCTTTTTTTGATTTTTGATTTTTTTGTTGCCCTCCCCTCTGCAAGAGATGGAGATCTGTTGGCTTAATTGAGTCTAGTATTGAGTTGGGTGAGCTGTTTGCCTGAGGTTAGCTTTTGCCATCTCTGTTCTTGTTCAATATAATCTGCTTAAAGAAGTCGAGGAAAGAAAATGCTTATGGTTGGTCAACTAGCTAAATGTACAACTTAACATCCTATAAAAAAATCTATGTTGTCAATAAGTCACTAGACATCTATGACAATGTTGCTTCATAAGACTGCTCTTATGTAATGCTTGAAATGTTATAGTATGGTAGTACGGCAACATAGAAGTTACTGACATACTTTTAGCTAACACATGGACAAAAAAAAGAGAGGGGCACTTTCCATGCTTTTATGCTTCTGAATATGTTTATTAACTGAAATTATTTCCTCTTTTCTGAAATTCTCTTTTTCTAATTTTACATCTGGTTTAATGTCAATTTGTAACAACATGCAGGTGCATGTGTATTGGAAAAACACTCAGAGGACTGGTCTGAACACTAGCCTTTCTGAAAGTCAAAGCGCATGCTCTGCATTTCTTGCAAATATTGATGAGCGAAAGACAATAACCGTAACATTCCACAGTAAATCATACTCTTTGCCGCCGTGGTCTGTGAGCATTTTACCAGACTGCAGTAATGTAGCATTCAACACCGCAAAGGTTTGCTTTTCAAGTTTAGAAGTTTGAGTTGTCATGATTACCTTGTTTATCTAACTATTCTAATTGCTAGATGTGTGTCCTTAGTTTTGAAAGCATGAGCCAATTGATATAGTCCTACTACTATATATTTATCACACATTTTTACGACCCAAATTTTTACCACTTCAATTTTTGCATAAATAAATACATTTATTTTTTTATAGTCCTTTCTCTTTAAAAATTTCCGGCAGTTGCTTCTGTATCAAATTCTTGTAAGCTGCCATTGCTGCTTCCTTGTTTTCTCTCAAATTACTGACATTCATACAAAGATATCTACTTTCATATTGTGAACCTCAACACTATTATTGTTCCTATCATTACTCACAAGAGCCATTGACTTATAATTTATTTATATTATTGTACGATTAAGATTTAGAGTTTTAGGAGATAAAAGTAAGGAAGAAAAAAAAAACTTGTAGGACTCCAACTTGTAATCCATAGTATAAAAAAAAAGCAAGCTGTGTTTTCTATTTTTTTCAATGAGAACTTTGATAAGAAAATTTATTTTTCTTTTCAGTTTCTTCCCTCTTCATTCTCTCAATTTTTCACAATGTGTAATAATTAATAAACCAAACAATACTAAAAGCGCCCATGGAAATAAATAATAACTAATAGAAAATTGCATTCAACGTAATGGTATGGTCTTCATACTGTTTTCTATCCATTGAATTGGTTTTCTTTTTTTTACAGGGATAAGGCTTGAAGCGTACCCTGTTTTATATAGTTTCTAGAGTAGATGGGCCTCTGGTTCCTACTTCAAACAGTTCTGTTTTTTATTCATTGTCTGTAACTCCTCTTCTATCTTTCTTACGTCCTAACAGGTTGGAGCACAAACATCCATAAAACTGGTGGAGTATGCCTTATCTCCAAAAATATCTACACCTGAACTAGTCATGACCACAAATAAGGTTTCCAGTCTCTCAGAATCTTGGATGTCTGTGAAGGAGCCAATTGGTATATGGAGTGAGAACAATTTTACAGTTCAAGGCATGTTGGAGCACTTGAAAGTGACAAAGGATGAATCTGATTATCTCTGTCATATGACCAGGTTAACTCTGGTTTACTCTTGGATTAGCATTTAGCACCCTAATTCATTTTTCCTTTTTCTGTTTGGTTATTATTTATATTAAGTTCCCTTCTTTTAGAACTAACTTCTTAACGGACTGAAATGTATCCTCTT